ATCATTTAAGCCAGCTCCTGTGCCCCCACCACACCCTGTGCCCACCCCCCACCCCTCTCTGATCCACCAACCCCCAAGACCAGCCACCAGGATTCCCACAGCCCCACTAGCCTCCCAGCCCTCCCCACACAAGCCTCAGGCCCTACATCCCATAATCCACCACATACAGCAATTCCACCTCACCCCACCCCATCCCCACTTCCTTTCCCCTCCCCTGGCTCACCCACCCGTGCTGCAGGGCTGCCTTGATGAAGCCCTTGCGGCACAGTGGTTACCCCTCTTCCTGGGCAGAGAACCCAGGAGTCCTAGCTCCCAGCCCCCCTGCTCAAACCACTAACCCACACTCCCCTTCCAGAGCCAGGCAGAGAACCCAGGAGCAGTGCCAGATTTATCCACAAGCTAAGCAAGCTACATCTTAGGGCTTCAGATTCTGAGGGGCCTCTACATATAAAACCTACATTTCTTTTTTGGTTACCCCTCTTCCTGGGCAGAGAACCCAGGAGTCCTAGCTCCCAGCCCCCCTGCTCAAACCACTAACCCACACTCCCCTTCCAGAGCCAGGCAGAGAACCCAGGAGCAGTGCCAGATTTATCCACAAGCTAAGCAAGCTACATCTTAGGGCTTCAGATTCTGAGGGGCCTCTACATATAAAACCTACATTTCTTTTTTGGTACTGTTATGGGGCCTCCTGCCCCGCACCCACTCCCTCTGACCCAGCATGCCCCACTCCCCTTGCAGCCCAGGCAGGGGCCCATCTCACCCCCGCTCATGATGTAGTCGCGGAAGAGGGGCAGGCGGAACCAGAAGGGCAGCATGAGCAGGTGGGGTGTGAGCCCCGGGAACAGCTCCCCAAATCCTGTGGCTTCCGTGCAGAAGTTGCCGAAGGCGCCAGCCACCAGCACCCCATGTGGGTGGAACCCGAAGAGGTAATTGCGGGAGGGGTCCAGGGGCGCTGTCTTCACCAGCTGGGGAGAGAGGGCAGGGTTGAGCAGGGGCATCTCCGACACTGTAGGATGGGGGGCTCCAGGGAAGCAGCAGCTGCCAGGCCACATGGGGGCAGCA